GTATATTATTGCAGAGGCCGGGAAGTAAGGGATTGCTGGACGAGTATGAGTTGCAAGGACGAACGCCAGCGAGGCCTTGTATTAACACGAGGCAAGCAATCCCCGTTCCCGCCGAGGCATGTATAGAAGTTTTCTCAAACAATGTGAGGACATAAAAAAAGACTATAGAGATGAAGATGTATAATAGAAAAAGTAAAAAATACTAATTAACGATAAAATTAATACAATACAATTGGTAAAAGAAAATGTTATTGTTTTTCCAGGCGCATTAACACTACCTAGTCTGCTGAACTTCTGATGATGTGTTATATTTTCGTTATCGCTCTTTTCACTAGCACTCATGTTCGCGACCAAAATACAAAAACGATGAAAAAACAAAAGAATATCAAAACACTTTAGTCTGATGTTACCGCCATTTTCTTTTTTTTTACGTAAACGGTACAGGTAGGTATTTTTAATTCTCGCAGTTATGAACACTGGGCAGTTGGCTGTATGAGATTTTCTTTTGTTAGGTAGATTTTAAAGTTTAGAGAAGAGGACAGTAATGGATGGATATAATAGATATAATGGATGGTCCGTAAATTACAAACTTTCCGTGTTCGTTTTTAGGAAGTAATGCAAACATTTCCGAGCATGTTTGAGAAATAATAATAATTCGAATAGTTTTGTCCGCAAACAGGTTAATTCCAGTCAGCCCCGCTAACCACTTGAGGCTAAGTACCTGTACAGGTATCGGCTGTGGTGAGGTTTTTTAAAAATCTCTCACTAGATGTCAGTAGCGTAAGATGCGTAAAGCATCGAGTATATAACCAGAAATAGAGACGAAATAAGCGCCATATACTCCTGGTAAAACATTAGAGGTACAACTCTTATAAATATCAACTCTCGTTTGCACTGAAATATAGACAGGCCAACTACTAACCTGTGTGTAAGTCTCCGTATATTCCAAAAAATATTCTGTATTTATTGTAATAAAGGTTCTATTCGATGGTGCGGGAAAAACAGAAAATCTAATTACAAAACAAACGGAATCACATTTCATCGGTAATTAAGTATTAAATATGTAATTTTGCAATTTTCGTCCATTACAGCAAAGCTCAAGTTAACTGGTCGATTTGAAACAGTTGACGACACCCATCAATTGTTTCGAACTCAGGCTAGCCAATCAGAGCGCATTTGTCACGGTAATGATATGGCAGAATAGTTTTCAAACAAATTAAATGACATTTCGTCTCTATTTCTGGTTATATACTCGATGGCGTAAAGTCAGTACAAAGATATGTAAAAGCTAAATACACCCTAAGGGTCGAGCGGTTGGAGTCTCGCCACAAAGCAAATTTTAATTCGTTTGTGGTGGAAGTACCGATCGAATATCTGTCGACCTTCACGAAGGAAGAGCTTTGGCCGAAGGGTGTCATATATCGGCGCTTCCGCGACCAGTAACCTGACACCAGATTGCGCAACACATCGCCGACAAGTGCAATACGTCGAGATTAGTTATTTAGTTTATTTTATTGTTATATCATATTGTATGTATGTTAGTCCTTAAGTATATATTATATGGGTCATGTGGTCTGAAATAAATGTCGAAATAAAATAAAAATAACAAAAAACACATAGGAGAATTTCAACAACTCGGTAACTTGATCTGTGGCTCAGTTGGTAAGAGCAATGCTACGGTGCAGCATGGTCGCCTGGGTTCAAGTCCCACCGGGTCGAAGAAATTTTTCTGTGTTCGATCTTTGTATTAATCATAACTTGCGGCAGTTACATTTCTATTCTAGCACAAATGCAAAAAGAAATAATTCAAAATTAATCTTTTAGGCCATAGGAGAGGCGAGAGTCTACATAGATATCTATAGATGAACGAACTAGAATTTGTTGTTAAGAAAAAGAGTGTCCCTATCGTCCGTCTTTGCCATAACAGGCGTTATGCCATCATCATCTCCATAGCTTCAAGTTCTTAAATAAAGCCTCTACCTTACAAAGAGCTGTAATTTTTCAAGAAGCAGTAGAATCTTATAAAAGAGTTCGTCCAGGGAAGTACTGCCACCTTGCCTATTTCTGCCACTAAGCAGTAATATTACTGCATTCCGGTTTGGAAGGGTAAGGGTGCTGGTGAAATTACAGGCGCATGGGACTTGTTAACTTACGTCTCAGGATGACGGGCGCAGTGGCAGTGCCCCTTAGATCTTAGTCGTTTAAAGCTCTGAATGTCAATGCAACTGTTATGGATAGTCGCGTCACTTACTACGAGGCGCACAACGTGGTGTAATAAAAAAAAACTAAGTAGCCCAATATGGTCGCTAGACGAGGAGATCCCGGATCCCCACGAGGACCAATTTTGGTAAATTAACTTTTCTAAGACGATCATGGGACTTGTTAACTTATATTCTAGAGTGACGGGCTTTCAGATCTTTGCAATTTAATGCTCTGAGTGACACTGCAACTGCTGTGGACAGGCGTGTCGCATAATACCATACGCACGACTTGTTCTTTCCGTGAGTTGTTATCATAAAAAATACTTTCAATTTCTCTGTATTCTAAATAAAACCCCTAAAACAATTATTATAACTGCCTCCGTGACCGAACGGTTACCGGACTGCCACGCAGAGGTCCCAGGTTCGATTGCCGGGCCGGGACAAGTATTTGTATGGCCCACATTTATTTCTCTCGTGAGTTTGGGTGTAATTTGTTATTGTCTCTGTGTGTGTCCATGGCACCCGCGACCCAGGGTTTCCCTAGTGCGGGGCTATGTTGAGTGTGTACGTTATTATTATTATTATTAATTTCCTCATTTCTTTCATACATGTATATAGGAAAAAAAATGTGGTTGATAACCCTAGAGACAAAACTTCAAATCGTCGCCTTACTTTCTTAAACTCGTACCTTAAAACACACAGTTGCTGAAATGCTAGCCATTACGCTTAATGCTGGGCAGAGCCACAGCGCTGATTTTCAGCTGGAGCCTGAGAAGAGGTAGATGGCTATGCCTATTTAACAAAAACTAAAAAGAATAACAAGGATTTGATCCGTAACCTAAACATTTAAAATAACAATACCAAATTTATAACATAATTATTACAATATGCAGCGTGCTTTTAGACAGTATAAAATTAATAATAATAATAATAAGAATAATGTCCGAGTCATAACTATACTAAAATAAATTAACAACTAGCTTTAGTGATTAATGCAGTTCATTTGCCCTATTAGCGTAAACTCTTTAATGCTTTTGCGAAAGCCAGATAAAGAAGCTACATCGCGAATAGGAGGAGGCAAATCATTCCAGATTTTCGCCGCGGCATACTTAAAGCTCCCTTGAAATGCTGCAGTTCTGTGGCACTGGACAATTATAATAAAGTAAGCATCCAAATCAACACCCTTGATAAGAAATTTAAACTAAATAGAAAGCTTTGCCATCTCCTGAACAATCACCCTTTATGAGATACGAGTTTGGAGAAAGTAAGGCGTCGAAATAGTGAACCAATTTTATTAACCAATAAATAAATTACAAAAAAATACGAAGGTTTAAAAAAATCTTCATATTTAAACAATACCAGACAATAAAATATACAACCAACAGTACCGTCATTCATATCAGAGTTGTAGCACAAAAGGCGCGACCTTTTGTTGCGCGCACGCATATAGACAATAAATAACACATTTTCCTATCTACAGCTGCAGATTACCATTGTACCATTTCGATGCATGTGCATGGGGGTAGGGATTAATAGAAGGGACAACACTGTTAAAGATTTATAAGACGGCATTCAAAGTGAAAAATTGTATATTTTGACTGAGATGGTTCGTCCAGGGAAGTACTGCCACCTTACCTATTTCTGCCGCCAAGCAGTAATGTGTAATGTGAACATTACTGCGTTCCGATTTGGAAGGGGAAGGGTTTTGGTGAAATTACAGGCACATGGGACTTTTCAACGTATGTCACAGGGTAACGGGCGCAGTGGCTGTCCCTAAGATCTTTGCGATTTAAAGCACTAAACTGCACTGCAACTTTTTTGGACAGGCGTGTCGCTTACCACCAGGCGTCACGACTTTTTAGTCCCGTCTCTTGGTATCTGAAAAGTCAATATCACAGTCTCACATGTCGAACATGTGGCTAGCCTGTGTCAAAAAAGGTAACAATGTCATCATTTGGAACACAGGCGTCATTGTGTGACACATCCAGTAGGTACTATGTATTATTCGTATCGGTCAGCAGCTTGTTAGTGACAGGAAGGCAGCAGATTTAAATCTTTGTTGGTCAATTGTCGACGCTTGTAGCACGGGCCCCAGCGCCACGCGGTGTTGATCGTAATCACTACATTTATTTGGCGTAGGAACTGGAGAAGGAAGCTATCGAATATCACGGAATAAACATCGAAATTGAAGTGGTATGCATAAATAAAAATTTATTAAAAATTAAAATACAAGAAAATAAAATTTTTCTTGCTTACGAAATTGAGCGCTCGAGAAATGACCAAGCCTTCGCATATTTTACATTAAAAAAGTGACTCCGTATGAAGCGTTCCACTACGAAACGTGCTAAGAGGCTTGTCGGTGATTAAAGGCGAAGCTTTATAGCCTTGAATAACCCCCTTAAGTTGCATGCTCATCAATATTCTATAGGACATATCACGGAGAGTGTGGGAGGGAATTACAGGAATTTATTCCGCCATAATTTTTTTTATGGTACTAAGTGACAACACACCTGTCCATTGCAGTTGCAGTGTCACTCAGAGCTTTAAATCGCAAAGATCTGAGGGGCATTGCCACTTGACTACGTCCGTCACCCTGGGACATTTAAGTTGACAAGCCCCGTGTGCCTGTAATTTGTGACCATGCGTCACATTCCATCAAGTGGGGCGGAGGAGTTTTTGTGAACTTATGTCGATGATACTATTTTGTTAGAAAGTGGGTACCTCAGTAATGGTCCCATTGAAATTTGAAGAAAATATACCACCTCTAAAGGTGACAAATGGGATGTTTTAATTACTTACCTGTATCAATAACAGTGCAAGGAAGGATCACAGTGTCATTTTCATAGTTTTTCACTTTCACGGTCACTCCTTTAAACTCACTCATCAGTTTTTCACTCAACACTGTCTGTGATAATAATATCACTAATAAGTGCAATGTGTACATTTTGAATATTACGTATTGTTTATTTTTACTGAAATAGTATAAATATTATTCCTTAGGTAAAAGATATTTAAAAAAGCAGTAATAGCCTGATGGTTTTATCTACCGTCTCTCAAGCAGAGGCCGTGGGTTCAATCCGGACTTGCACCTCTGAGTTTTTCGGAGTTAATGAGTGAAATTAGCTGAATCGGATCCTTGTGTACACGCCACAGCCGCACACATGTCAGTATAGTACTATGTAACTATGTTTTTACGATGTTTTTCGTGTTATTTCTGTTGTAGTTGTATTAGTCATTTTTGTGTTTTTTTTATAATGTGGCGTTGCACTGTTTGGTGCACTATTTGTTGCAAATGGTTTCTATTTCTATTTCTAAATTTAAGAATCTATGCTACCTCAAATGGCTTTTATTGATTCCGCATAAACAGTGAAAGTGTTGAATTTACTTTAGAAAAAAAATTATAGTATAATTGAGAATATACACTGGTAGAATACGGTGTAAAAACACGATTTCTAAAAATTTTAACCACAGAAAAATTAAACTCTTAATTTTAAAAAGGAAAACATCGTGATGAAATCTACACGTCGAAGAAGGTTCACAACTCTCGGAAAGCGTATGAAATCGCCAACTTACATTGGGCCAGGGTGGCGTATTATGGCCTAAGCCGTCGCCTGAGAGAAGACCCGTGCCCAGCAGTGAAACGTATAAATGGGTTGATGATGATGATGAAAGGTATTATAATCTGATACATTGATACAGCTCTACAAACTGGAAATGAAACTATTTTTCTCGATTATTTGTCGCGTATATAGCCTGGTCTAAGATTACGCATCCGATAACAGTAACTAACTAACTAACTTCAGTGTCATTTTGTAGTGATTGTTGTGCGGAAATGTATTAAGAAATGATTGAAAACTAAGATACTGCTCAAGTCTGAACGTTTTATTTTAAGTATCAAATCGCCCGAAAACTCGTCTAGAGGTCAAGCTGCAAACGAATCTAGTCCTTGCAACATATGGGTTTAGTAACAGTTTTATTCTAAAGTCAAAGTAAAAAAATCATTTACTCCATACGTAAAATAAATTTACACTTGAAAATGTCACATTTACGTTACTGCTCGTTCACTACGCTGACTGTCCTGAGAAGGATGTACTAGAAACTTTGAATGCTATTGATTACATTTGGAATCAAATTTGTGTGAAATCTCGAGCCATGTCGTCTTTCCATACATCTTATCTAACACGTAGTCTTCAATTTTGTAATATGACTTTTCAATCAAAATATTGGAAGTAAAACGGCTTAAGTACGCAACTCGACGTGTTGCAAGAGTCCGCGCCTAGTCTCAGACCGTTTTTTTTTATAATACTGTACTTCTGAATGAAATTTCTGTCGTTGTGCCTCGTTCTAAGTGAAACATTTTGCAATCCTCCTGAAATTTTGGAAGGTTTAACAGACCTGAGGCATGTGCTGCGATTGTGCTTGAAATTATCGGCAGCAAGAGCGCCTAAAGCACCACTACCACTCTAGCTGAGGTATGTACTCTTAGCTCTTAATGACCCATATATACCGAGACAAAAAATCATATTACTAGAATGACATGGAGGAGATTCGTGAAACCGATAAACGAAGTCCTATCAAAAAAGGTGTTACGTACTCTTGGTAGCGCTACGGCTAAAAAGTCCTTGAAAAACCAAATACAAAGATACGACGCAAGCACATAAAAAAATCGTAAAGTCCGCTGGTTCGTTCCGTGGTTTAGTTGGTACAGCGTCTGGCACGGTATGCTAGAAGACGTCGGTTCGAATCCGGCCGGATCGAAGAAATTATTTCTGAGTGTTCGATCTTTGTATTAATAATTATAACAAACTAGTGGAGTAATTTCACAAAAAATGATTGAATATCAATCCAATAAAAATTTAATTAATACAGTGAATAGTGACATCTCTCGCCAGGACTGGTAGCTGTAAAGGTACTAACTGGGTGATAAATCTTTCATTCACAACGCATTTCACAACGCTTGCGTCGTGTCTTTGTATACTTTGTCTACGGATGAGTCGAAATAGTTCTATTGCGGTAATTTTAATGTAGCCATTATACAAATTACGAACGCCGGAAAGCGATCTTGTCGTATCTCGAAAAATAGGACTTTACACCGAGGCCGAAAAACTATTTAAAAAAATGATTTCTATAATTATTGATACAAAGATCGAACACTCAGAAAATATTTCTTCGATCCGGTCGGATTCGAGAGAAAGAAAAATTCGTGAGGTCCGTTGGTTCGTTCCGTGGCTTAGTTGCTACAGCGTCTGACACGGTATACAAGAAGACGTCGGTTCGAATCCGACCGGATCGAAGGAAGTTTTCTGAGTGTTCGATCTTTGTATTAATAATTATAACAAACTAGTGGAGTAATTTCACAAAAAATAATTGAATATCAATTCAATAAAAATTTAAATAATACAGTGAATAGCTAGAATAGAATAGAATAGTTTAAATAAATAAATAGCGACATCTCTCGCCAGGACTGGTAGCTGTAAAGGTACTAACTGGGTGATAAATCTTTCATAGATTTCTCATAGATGGCGCTACGACTAAAAAGTCGTTGAAAAACCAAATACAAAGATACAACGCACGCACATAAAAAAAATCGTAAAGTCCGCTGGTTCGTTCCGTGGCTTAGTTGGTATAATGTCTGGGACGGGATGCTAGAAGACGTCGGTTCGAATTCGGCCGGATCGAAGAAATTTTTTCTGCGTGTTCGATCTTTGTATTAATAATTATAACAAACTAGTAGAGTAATTTCACATAAAAATAATTGAAAATCAATTTAATAAAAATTTAAGTGCATCGTCATAAACCAAACAAACCAACATTTTGGGCTCTTTACTATTGTGTAGTGTTATATTTAACACTACACTCACAATTATTGGTGTGTGTAGTTTCATTGCCAATGTATAGCAATCGTGAATGGCCAAAACCGTTAGAGACGCGTGCTCAGAAGTGAGATGTAAAATAGGTAATGCTGTTATGGAACTTATTATGGCAGCATTTACATCAACGTTCAACAAGATTGTAATAATACATTGTGTAGGACGGTAAGTAAGAAATACTAACGAGGGAGGGCCTATTAGAAGCCCGAAAAGCTGAAGGCGAGGGGCCTTTATTTACCGTCCGTGAAATGTTTTTTATCACATTTGCTAGGAAATAAATACAATGTTTATTTCTTGTTATGTATACATATGGTTCACAACACAACAATTATGCATTTTGCAAATGGCTGGTTTTGTGTTCTTTTAAAGACGCATACAGCCATGACGGACTGTAAAAAAAGTTTGCTCAATTTCAATACAGAAAATAATTTAAATTAATTTAAAAAAATTCTTAATAATAAGTATTTAAGTAATATGTGGCTGAATTGCAATTAAATTTCTGTTTAGATAACAGTTTAAGCGAATGTTTTAATTTTGAAATTATGTAACTTCCTTGCTTGAACTGACCTATGTGAGGATGTTGTCGTGCCCCAAATTAAAAAAAACTCCTTACCGACCATGGCTGTATTGGGAAGAAAAAAGACCCGAGGTTTTTATTTGGAGCATTATGGTCAAGTTAATACTTACTATTTACGAGCAAGTGTGATGAAAAACAAATTTTTAGAATTCTAATTTTGAACGCGCTTTTAACGTCTTTGTTCTTCTAAACCTCGATAATCCGTACTGTTTTTTAATTGAAAGTTTTTGTCAACCTCGACGACGCGGGTGATTTAAAAAAAAGATTATTTTTTTTATATCGTTCACGGTGTGCACTATAAAATTGAGACCGGATTTATGGTCGGCTGGCTTTCTTTAAATTAGGACATTAATTCCCCTTTTTAATTTATTTGATAAGAAAAGGCCGAGTCCAGGCGAGGCTTTCTTTATTTAGACGAGACTGGTTTACAACAAGTGACATAAGAATAAGGACACGAACCCACCGCCTGTCAACCACGTCCGTCAAAGAAAGATCACAGTCCTATTAAATTAAATGAATTTAAATACGTTACCACAAACACTCACACCCGAGACAATATAGAGAGTTAGGTTTTCTAATTGACCCCATATTGACCCGGCCGGGAATCGAACCTCGGATCTCAATGATGGCGACACCCTGAAAACCGGTGTGCAAGCTACTTGAACTCGAGGTCGTCAAAATTTCGGTCGTCAAAAAATAATATATTATTCCGACAAGCACAGAAATCAGAAATTTTGTAATTACACCGTGCATCATGCTTTATTGTTTATAATAATTTCAACTGTTTAAAGTTTAGTAGTTTAATGGCCACCTATTGTTTTTTTATATATAATAATATCAATTAATATTTTTTTAATAGGGTATCATTCACTTATTAAAAAAAATAGCTTAACACTTTAACAAAAATTGAGATCACTTTGACAATATAAATAAGTTAATAGATAATTCAGGGAAAGAAACTAGAAATGTTTTTGAAAATTTAGCTAAAGATATTCCCGCTTCCGTCGTTAAAATAAATTATATTTATAACACCTAAAGGCTGCCTGGAAGATCTAGTAATAAACTAATATAGTGTGTAGTTTGTTGCATTTTGTTTATTTACTCTATGGTCTTGTAGGTAATGGTACCAATATTGTAGTGTCTTAATTTATACACAATTTTTTTTTAAACTAGAAAGAACTTTTACATTTTCAACAAATCAAGTATGGCCGCCGTGAAACGCGCGCGGTTTGGCGGGAAACAAACACCCAACTGTCATTGCCGGAGCATGCGCTTGCGACGCTCTACGCATTGATCTTGATGATTACATCTACAAGAGGCACACTGAGTTCAATTTTATTATATCATTGAGCCATTTATCTCTTCCTTTTTCCCTTTCTATCTTTTGGAGACTCGTGTCAAGAAGTAACATGTATACTGGCCTGGATAAAATACGTGTTACTTTTGAAGTAAAATATAAATAACAGAATACTTTCTTTTTTTTTGTTTCTTATGTTCATTGACCAAAATACAGAAAAAATGCTTTTATGAGGTGTATTAAAAATATAAAA